CAAAGAAATTTTTCTACATAAAACAGCAATAAAACATAACCCTATATTTTTCAAGAGAGACGAAATTTTTGCCAAATTTTTTTAAATGTAATTCATGGTTGTGTTAGTTATGTAAATGTTTCGTGGCAATCAAGAGAGTGCTGCTTAGTGACAATTCTTCCAAATTTCTTGTTATAATTGTTCGTTTTTAAGTTAGACACAAAATGCAGGCTGTGCCTAATTTCTGGACGGCAGTATAGTTTGTTTTTGGTTACGAAGTTCTTATTTTCATTTTCAAAGTGTGATTTTAATTTAGTTTTTCCTTTTTGAGGAGTGTTTGGCGCTTTTTTTAAAAAAAATTTTATTACATAAAAATATTTTAAATGTACATTAAAATGAAAAAAGAGTTTTTCTTTTCGTATGCTCATACGGTTCTCCTGATTCCCAGCGTTCAGTATGATACATAACATTTGGTACAATTTTATCAGTTAAAATGTTTTAAGATTTATTTTTCTGTTTGTATGCTTTCATAAAAAGGTGTCTATATCAAAATATAATAGGTTTTACCATTGTCAGAATATTTAATTACAATTAAAAATATTAAGAAAGGGGAGAAGCTACATTCAAGTAGGTTTTTTGACAGTTTTATGGCTCATGAATTTTACTATTTTAGTCTTGTGGCTTTTGTTTCTTGACAAAACTGTCAAATAATACACTAGAAAAATGCTTAAAATATTTTCTAAAATATAACATTTATAATTTTTTCTGTAATTGACCTTTTCTAGACCAGTTTTTTCTTTTCCAATAGAAAGACAAATTATAGGCCGGGATAGCCTGGTCGGTAGGGCGATGGGCCCATGTCCGAGAGTTTGTGGGTTCGAACCCCACCGGACAAAGACTCCCCGTGTAGTAAATGGTGACTGATGCACGTTAAATCTGTCGGGTCGCAAAGTCCTCCATGTTCCTATAACAAATCAATATTTCTGGGGGTGCTGGATTGGAGATCGATCGTTCTCTGATTCAGGTCAAAATTACGATCTGAGGATGCATGAATGGATCCGCCCTTTAAACGGGTGCGTCGTTTGTGTGTGGCTGAGGTTGAATTCTCGGCCATAGATGGCGCCACTGGAGAGCAATAACAATAGCACCCCTCTGCCTAAACAGGCATACGAAAGAAGACAAATTATGACTCCAATTGATCAAATAAGGGGAAAATAACTATTTAGGCAATTGGAGGGGCTCTGACGCAGTTTCGGGTTTTTTAGACGGGACACGTATGTCTCAATAGTGATTTTGTCTGCAGGACATGTCCCGTTGGGATCAAAAGGGTTAAAAATAATAATAATTAAATTTGGTTAATTGAAACTTTTTTAAGATTTTTATGAGTTATTATTGTGAGAAACTAAATATTTCAAACTAAAAACCACATTTTCCACCATTACTTATAGTGTGTGTCTCCAGATGTTATAATTGAAAAACCATTTGATATACTTTTCAGAAATTTCATCGCTTTGGTTTGGTAGTATAAAACTGCTGAGAAGTTATGCCCCCATCTGAGGTAGAAAGTAAAAATGTCCAATCAGTAATTTATCTCGGGCGAGTCTGCTTCACTACTTTTTGCTTTTAAGTTTATTTTTTGAAAGTTTTTATTCAGGTTATACTATTTGAATCGTGCAATATGTATCAATTATTGAAAGTTATAACTTTTTCTTGATTTACAGCTACGTATTATAAATCTTTAATTTTTGTTTCATGCTGATCTTTTTTTTAAAAAATTAATATTTATACTTAAAATTGTTACAGTTCAATTGCGAGTATAAGCTTGCCTTTACTCCTTTTTCAACTTGAGCAATTAATGAGGAATTTTATCTTTTTGAAAATTCTAGAAAGTTTGCAACATTTTGATCAATTTTTACGAATGACAGTATTTAAAACCAAAAATTTATTTATGAAAACTGAATATATTTGTATTATTCATTGTTTGACTTAATAGGCAAAATACAGGCCCAAAAAAGGTATAGGTAAAGTGTAATAATTCTAGATTCAATCTCGTTTTCAGGGCACGACTTTGTATTTTGATCTTTGTATTATCGCATTTTATAATTGTGTGCAAAAATTTTTCAATTCACTTTGGAATTTCTCTAGATATGGCGAAATACGCAAAAAGTAAAATTAACATTAAGGTATCCAAACTTTGGACCGCACTTCTGACCAAACTATGGGGACCATATTTACCAGAATAGGGCTACCCCATATACTTTGGGGGTCAGAAATCCGAATCCGTCGAAAAGGAATGTTCATTCAGAGTTTTTGCGTCTGATTTCGTAATTTTAAATATTGTCTGCGCTAATTAATTATCATGCGGTGATCTCCTCAAGCCATTAAGATTGAGTCCTAGTACGTGAAAATCTGACCATTACATCAAAAGTTATTCAAATTGATTCGTTTTTTTCTTTGCACTGTAAAGTTTTTTGTTGCCTCACCACCCTCTAATATCAATCAAATATTGAATTCTTACTGCAGGTCTTAGCTACCGTAATCTCTGATAACTTAGAGCACGATGTTTTTTTATATAATTTTTTCCCCTCTTAAACATACACAATTTAGAAAACTTTCATTAATGTAACAATAGATCCAATTTTTACTGTTAAATAAATTAATCTCTAAAGTAAATGATCTTTAGCTGAAACCTAGTCCAATTAAATCTAAATGACTTAAGGTATCCGACTAGTTTAATATTGATATTTAAAAAAAAATTGTCCAAACTAGTCGGATACTTTAAGTCATTCAGGTTTATTTAGGTTAGATTTCAGTTAAAGATCATTTTAGAGATTAATTTATATAACAGTAAAAATTGGATCTGCTGTTACATTAATGAGAGTTTTCTAAATATACTAGTTTTATACAAATAAACTAGTTTTTTAAAACTTAAATATTAATATTTAAAAAAAATTGCCCAAAGTTTTAAAAAACTAGTTTATTTGTTTCATTCTGTGTAAAAACATATAAAACTAGCAAAATATTATTTTTCAAATGAACATTTTTCGGTAAAAATGAGGCATTTTTTGCATATATGCTAGACACAGTAAAAAAATTTCTATCTCCTAAAACCGGAAATCTGTTGATAATTTTATTTAGAAGGTTATCAACTACGTTTTGAACTACTACCTTAAAAGCCAGTGCATATACTACTGAGTTAGGGACCAATGTAGTCAAAAAGGCAAATTTTTGAAAATTTCAGCGCTTGTCTTTGCTAAAAAACACGCATAAAAAATGAAACTATGCTTTTATCTCTTAGTCTGTAGATCAAAACATGTGTTCTATAATCATAAACACTGATGAAAAATTGTAGACAATTATTATTAAAACCACCTGACATATCGTGTTTAAAATGATGTAAAATACAGGTAGAAAATCTGATTTTGAAATAAACGCATTTAAAGATTTAAAATCATTAGTCTATCACCTGTTATCACCTTGCTCAAAAACTGCTATAACTTTGTAAATAATTGTAGTACAAAGAAAAGTAAAGTATTTGTTGAAAGCTAAGAGTACAGAAATTCTAAATTTATAATAAACTCAGTTTCGAAAATTTTGCCCAAATTCATGTTTTTGCACTAGTAGTGCAACTTAGCATTAAGATTCTAGGTATATAAAATTCTTGTGGAGTTGATATGATTTGTTCGAGTGATTCATAATACTTGATTTTGTAATAATTTTGTTTCTTTATACAGTCAAACCCCGCTATAGTGAACCTTCAAGGGACCGAAATTTTGGTTCACTATAACCGGGAGTTCACTATATCCGTTTCGCAGACAATTTAACTAATGGTTCCCAAACTCCTCCCTTTTATTACACATTATTCAAATAAATGTCTAAAAAATATTATGTAGTAGCAAAAAATGTGTTAATTTTCATTACTCTTCATCTTGCGTGCAAAGAAAAAAAAATTGTAATTTTTAGCTTATGAGCAATCTTCAACATCAGATATGGAAACACTTCCTGCCTCTCAGATAATTTTTCCTTAATTTCCGTTATTCCGCTTTTTAAACCTGTCTAACCTGGCATTCGAGCACATAAAATCGCTTAACAAATTCATCGACATTTGTCCAGATACTGGAAGTTTGCGGCTTCTTCGAATGGTGAACCACTTCAGTAATGCTTCTTCAACAGCCTTGTGATCTGCTTTTCTCAACTTTTTTCTACCATCTAAATTTTTTTCATGAGCAGAAATTATTAATTGTCTATTTTTCCATTTGTTACAAACTGATGATTTAGATAGTTTATATTCCCTGCAAATATTAACTTGATTGCATCCATTTAAAATTTTTCTGATTATGCTCATTTTATCATCAACGGAGAATGTTTTACGTTTACTGGTCGCCATAGCTAAATTTGAGACACTTGTTTACAGACTTTTTTTTAACTGAACTGAGAGCAAAAAGGAGTTGAAATGAGGGCCTTATCAACACATATTAGTGTTCAACCCTTTGACCAATAATGAATTATTACTCATTCCCTCTGACAGAAAATGCATATTGACCCCACTGACACCTTACAGGTCCGCCTGTGTTGGAAACATCTGCTTGGTTTGTTTAGGGATGGGAAAGTGAGATAAAAGAAGCAAACAAGAAATAATGCTTATCGCTATATTCCCCTCTATAGATGGTTTTAAACATTGGTATATGCATTTATTTTGAAGTAGAAATTTCAAAATTATTACCAAAAAAATAAAGAAAAAAATCAGTCGAAGACAGAAAAAAGTTCATTATATCCAACTTTCTCATTTTTTTGGTTCACTATATTCACAAGAAATAACATTATACGTGTATAGCAAGGCACGGGATCGCACATTTCGTTCACTATATCCGGGAGTTCACTATAAACCGTGCTCACTATAGCGGGGTTTGACTGTATTTTTAAATAGAGGATGCTTAATTTTTATTAAACTTATACGGAATCCTTTTATTAATTTTAAAATAAAGTGTCTATGTAAGATATAAACTCAAACTACCACAAAATAACAATTAAAACATCAACATTTATTCTATTAAAATTCACAAAGGAAACGTACTAATGGGATTTTTACATATTCAAGGAAGCCACAGGAGACTAAAAATGTAAAAAGTAGTAAAAACTCAATTTGCTTTTATTTAATTGTAGCTACCACTATAACTTACATTTTAAGTTATTCATATGTAAATCAATAACATTCTTAGTTTTCACTTTGAACAGTAAACTGAAAAAAAAATGCCCTAAAAAGTTACTAACTTTAGTATTTTTCAATAAAATTTTGAATTTTATTAGTTTACCACTTTTTGCATTTTTAGTCGCCTGTGGTAACCCTGCATATTTGCACAAAACTTTTACATATGCCGTGTATTGCCGAAGTTTTGACCGCTTTGGTTGGCTCCCTTATTTGTCCCGTATTGAAGATTAATAATGGTTTCTCCTGCTCGAAGTTGTTCTTCAGAAAATTCTCTTTCGTTCTTCTCCGATGGTTTTGGTCCCAAAAATGGCCCAGGAAATTCCGGATGGAGGTAGCACTGTAAAGGAAAATAAAAATTAAATTATTCTGCAAATAACTGCCCGTCCACCATAAAGCAAAACCATGGTATGATTTCATTAGTTAACCCTTAGACGCAGATAGAACACCGGTGTCCTTATTACATATATACAGAGAAACCTCCAGGAACGACCACATCTTTGTAGCTCTATTTACGACCACTTTTGGGAGGAACGGAATGTTTTCCATAGACTTTGTGTCGAAGAAAACCGTTAGGAGAGACCACCAAAACCTCTCCCAGCAACCGGGCAAACTTTTGCACTAAATGCAGAAAAGGTCTAATAAGGAAACGCGAAAAAATATTAAAACGAAAAGTATTAACAAAACAAATAAATAGGTAAAAATGTATTCAAAATAGTTGCTTGAGGTTCTTATTTAGAGAGCTTTTTTTGACGATCTCTGAAAGAGGTCTGCAACCTCACGTTGCCGTCAGAGTGCACTAAGAACGATGCTATCAATGATTTATTTTTAGAGTTGAAAGTTAAATAAAAAAGAATGTTATTTTAGAAAAAAACTAAGCATCGCTAACAAACCTGTAATTTTTTTAAAGCTAACTAATTTTCATAATAGAAAATTAAATACAAACTTAAGCAAAAAACATGATTGTTAATTTGTTTAAAATAGTTCCATCGTTCATAATTGGTAAATTTGTTTTTATTCATAATTATATCAGTAGGGATAATTCTTATTGATGCTAAATTTTATTCATCGATCACGTTTTCACGACACCAACACAAGTGGCATTTCCACACCAAGGAAATGACACCAACTAATATTAAAATAGTTTGCAAAAAATCTTGTACCTTCGATAACATTTTGAAGTCAGTGGAGGTAACCCCTAATAACGACCAACCTCCATTAAGGACCATTTTACTGTGAAACAAAGAATAGTCGCATCCGAGACGCTTCACTGTATAAATTTTCTGACGTTCTAACTATAAGCAAAAATGTATTTTGGTATTTTCTACTTGAAGAAAACAGTCTAATAGTTACTAAAATATCTGTTAGATTATCGGAATTATATTTGCACTAAATATAAAATCCAAAAAAAAGTAGTTCGAAATTTTTCTTTCTTTCATTTTTAAAAGTTCACCAATAACCGATTTTGAAAATTAAAGTAATTTCAATAATGAATAACCGATTCTCTTAGATCTAAATAAGTACAAACTTGAAAAAGTATTGTTTGGAAGTGAGCCGCGTTTGAAGGATTTTATCTTTAACGCAGAAAAAAGAAACCGGCGTTTCTTGCTGCATATCATAAACCCTCAATTATTAAAATGCTAAGTACAATATGCTTCTATTACTTTGACCTAAATTGATACAAAATAATAAGAAAAAGTATCAAAAATATGATTAAGACAAATTCTGCGTCAAAGGGTTTAAACGGCCTTTTTTATAGTAATATGCAAAAATATTTTTGGGATTAAAATTGATTCAGAAAACAAAATTCATTTAGATTATTACCTAAAAATAAGTTTGATTTTTAAGACCATGTTCGATACAAATGACTCTGTCTGCAAAATTAAGGTTTTTAAAAATTACAATATAGATATTTTGAAATGAATCTGAATTAAAATTCAAGTTCTAAGTCAAGTTCAAGTTCATCAGGTTGGTAAATATCCTTTAAAAAAGGAAGAGTCGACATGCTCGTGACTACTAATAGCTAATACTCAAGTGATTTGACCAAAATGACTATATTAAAAGTGAATTAAGGTTTTATTTTGTTAGAAATTTAGTAGGTTAATGCTCTAACTACAGTCGTACCCAAAAGTAAGGGAAAAAATTCACTCTCGAGATCTTAAGGAATAGTGTTCCATGAAAATGCATTAAAATATCACAAAAACGATTATAAAAAGTTGATGACACGAACTCAAGATCACGTATTTATGAGTATTACAGCAAGATAATCCAAAAATTATGTAGCAAAATGATAATTGAGAAGTTTCTAATATGAGGTATCAGTTTTCACAACAAAATCCCATACTGTATATAATTTTGACAAACGTCTTGGATCCATAAAAGCTCAATAGGATTCAGGCTTGGAGGCCTGGCTGGTATCTGATTATCTTCGGCTTTGAGGATTTCTCAACCCACCCAGCCCTGTGTGGATGCGCGTTGTTATCCATAAAAATTAACTGGATATCGAAATCGGATTACTAATTTTACGTAGGGTTCAAAGATCTCAGCCCTTTGCCTTAGAGGAGTCAAAGTACTACAAGTTTCGACAAGTTTTTGCTGGTTCATGTCTCGCTAGTTGAGACCGTTATAAATCGAACTCCTTTGCAGTCCATTTCAAGTTGGAATGGATGGGGTTCAAAGATCGAAGCACTTTGCCCTAGAGAAGTCAGAGTACTTCCTTAGAAAAATTCGAAGGTTTTTGCTGGTTAACACCACTCCAATAGACATCATTAGAAATCTACCTCCTTGACAGTTCATTTCCGGTTGGGTTCATAATCTCTACATACGTGAATGCGTTGAGAATCATTGTTCAGACTGAATCAGGGTTCATCAAAGGAGAAAATACAGGAGATGTTTTGCAACTGTGTCAGAGTTAATGTTTCATGCACAAATTCTGGCTGGCACACCTGTAATCAGGTGACCATTTGGCGGGAAGACATTTGGACTTTTCTGAGGTATACGGCCGAGATCTTAAAGTACTGTACAAGATGTTCAGAGGTGCTGTAGGTCTCCAGTTTATTTTTATAGATGACAATTCGCGTCCGATTTGCTGATTATCTTGAAGCTGATGCCACTTAGATTACGAAATTTAAATACTACAGATACTGTCCGAGGTGCTTATGACAGAGAATATTCAGCATGCCATACATTTCCAGTAACCTTCCGGAGCTAAGAACATCTTTAATGGAACGAGATGAATTATTTCAGGACGTAATGAGTTAAGTAAAGAACACGAGAGTTCATTGTGATAACTTTATTATCGGTGCCCCACACCATATTAAAATCCACGTCATTTTCCTACATTATTTTCGGACTATCTTACTGGGATGCCTATTAAATCAAGATCTCAAAGTTCATGCTCTTACCTTTTTGTTACTGTTTTTGTTATAATTTAATGTCTTTTATATAAAAGCTCATTAGTTCTTGAATTCTCCTCAAAAATGAGTTTATTCTTTAACTTTTGGACATAGTGCGGTTTGTGATTTTCTGACTTAGTGATTCAGTGTTATTTAGTGAGTTGATTCAGCTACTTATTTAATGATTCCTTAAGTAAGTGGCGATTTGTTTATTGATTTACTCAGATTGATGTCGCTAAATAACATAGACTACAATTAGTATTAATGTTCTGTCTAAATTATGATTGTACAAAAACTGATTGACACAGCGGCTGAGGAGGCGGCACACATTGGCCAAATCGTAAAAATGGTATCTAAATTAAAAAATAAAACATTTAATTTGTTTCTTGATTATAACTACTTTTTGAGTCGCTGTGGATCAGAGGATAGAGCGTTCGCCTTCCAATGAGGTGAACCTGGTTCGAGTTCCAGCCGTGTCCGATCGATACGAATTCCACATCCGATTTGCATCGACCACAGTGCTGACGTAAAATGTCCTCAGTGGTAGTCGGATCATGGGTTAGAGTCCCCTTGTCGTCAGGCTAACCTTGGGAGATTTTCGTAGTTTTCCTCTCCTTGTTACGCAAATGTGAATTAGTTCCATCAAAAAAGTCCCCTATGAAGGCAAATTTCTTCCTATACTTGATCCGGGAGTTTTCTGGGTATTCTGTATTGGGTTCAAATTACAATACTTCGGAGTTACACAAGTAGTCGTAAACTCAAAAATTGGGTCAGCTGTTCAACGACGGTTATAAAATAAAATAACTACTTTTTGATGTATATAGCGCAATGTAATTATAAAGAAAAAATTTATGTTTCTTTTTTTACTTAAATAACAGGCTGAGCTTATAACTGTCAGATGGGGTGACTTTGTGAAGCGAGGGATGACTTTGTGCAACTGGAGGTGACTTTGTGCAAACTGCCATTTTTTTCAATTTTTGCGTCGTGCCATCTAGGGGTATTTTTTAAAGCCCGTTATCAACTGATATGAGTTGTCAACATAACGAACTAATGATTTACCAAGAACTGGCAATGTAAACATCATCGGTTTTGGAAAATTGTGAGCTCAAGTTATAAACAGTTTCAAATTTCTTAACGTCGCAAAATCGGAGGTTGGAAAGTCTGCTTGGTTGAAGAAGTTCGTTATCTTGACCAGGAAGGTAGGTTATACAGGATGTTTATAAAGTCCCGGACCCATTTTGATGTTTAATAACTCATAAAATAATAAAGATAGATTAAAATTAATAACATAAATTGTTAGATAGACTCAAAAAGACCCTTGTCAATGAACTTTCACGTGTGCCCCCTTTGTCGCACGGAGAATATCAAGTCGATAGTCAATTTTACGCCAGGTAGATAATACCCACATATACCTTCGTATTCGATGATACCTTCGTATTTCCACAACTAGAAGAGCTTCAGCGACATGTCTTTTTGCAACAAGATGGTGCACCACCTCATTGGGGTATCATCGTTCGTAGTTCTTAGAATGACCATTTTCTAGGAAGATGGATTGGGCGAGGAGATCCAATTCCTTGGCCACCCAGATCACCGGATATAACGCCGCTGGACTTTTTTCTTTGGGGATTTATAAAGGACAATGTTTACAGGAGGATCGTGTCGAACATTGATGACCTAAAAGCCAGAATTACAACCGCAATAGCCTCTGTGGATGCCGACATGCTTGCCGCTACCTGGCGTGAAATTGACTATCGACTTGATATTCTCCGTGCGACGAAGGGTGCAAACGTGGAAGTTCATTGACAAGGGTCATGAAACTTTTTGAGTCTATCTAACCATTTATGTTATTAATTTTAATCTATCTTTATTATTTTATGAGTTATTAAACATCAAAATGGGTCCGGGACTTTATAAACACCATGTACTTTAAAAGCCTTATCAATTG